CCCCAAAACCCCAAAACCCCAAAACCCCAAAACCCCAAAACCCCAAAAAATTACGCATTATTGTAAACAAGATAACAAATGGAACCTTTGGCAAGCAACGTTATCCCAATTCCTCATAATATTATTCTCCTAAGTAATATCATTCCTTACTATGGCTACGCTAACGAGTGAGCTGAGCTGTTCCTGCAGCTAGATTCCACTAGTAGGAAAACTTGGAAGGATAACCTGAAGCCCATTCTTGAAGTGATCATGGACGATGAGCAGAGGATATTAGTTAGAGACATTAAGAAGCCATTTACTAAGAGTTTAGCTGACAAGTTGCAGGCTACTAATAATCATTTATACTTCAGACTGTGCCTTAGACTTTCCTATTCAGCTTCTTTCAAAGCCATGGCTAACTTCATCTCTCAGATGAAAGTCAAGCCTCAATTTCAGTTCAAGAAAATAGAAATGAGTTTGAATCTGAATACTCTTAAGGCATGAAACCACTTTTGAAAAACCTATATTGAAATGGGGTTTAACACCGAAGCTCTCGTGTTCAGTAAAGACAGTGATCAGACAGAAAGAAAAAACGAAAATACTTTATTTACCTCTTAAATGAGTCTATATTCAACTGTAACAAATTTCCCGATAGAACTTGGAATATCACAACATAATCTACATTCCTGACTTCAAAACTGATGAAGGTCTCAAGCACGCTTATGAAGACAGACAAGTTGAAGTAGAACAGTTAGGGTCATTGAGATATGTGTATCAGGCAGCTGAGAGGAATTTTAGAGTTTTGACTGTGTGTGCCAGGAAGGTTATGGAAGTGCAGAGGGATTTGGAAGGGAAGGAAGGAATAAGGGGTGGTAAGAGGAAGAAGGGGGGTTTAGGGGGGTATTTTGGATTTTTGGGTGGGATAGTGCATTTGAGGGGTGATGGTGAGGGTTTTGCTGTTCTTGTGGAGTTTATTGTCGTTCAGAGATAACCTTATTCTATTAGGCGAAACAAGGTTTACGAAGGAAGGTCTTCAAACTTTGAAAATATTTGATAGTTTCATGACAATTGGAAGGATTAACTTGCCTGGGAATGGAATAGAGAAATAGCCATAAATTTTTTCAAGGTTTAGAAAAGTTGATTCAACTAATGCCCACAGTCCAGAATTTAGTGTTCGAACAACAGATGTATTTTTATGAGTTTGTGGCTTCAGCACTTCCTAATATAAATATACGTTTCAAGAATTTGAGCAAGATAAATACCTTTGAGTTTAAAACCCAGATTGAGCAAAACAATATTGTTCTGGATATATTTTCTCCAAAGGCTGATCTCATTTATGAAGACCTTAATACTAATTTATTAATAAAATTTCAGCTCTCTGATTTGAGAGTCAAACTAGACCATATACAATTTAAAGATTCTGTAAGAGAACATCAACAATACGATGGAGATGATGAAGAATGACTCTTAGCAAACACAAAATATGTTATTTTAGAGTTAAGCAGCCAGAATTTTTTTAGTTATATTAGTTTCAAAAACTTCAGAAAGATAGATAAATCTGAAACAGAATCAGGAGTAGATCAAGTAAGTCAAGATTGCTATTTAATGATTGGTGATAATCTCTAACTATTATTCAATAGTTCCAATAAACATAAAAATTCAAATACCAATGACAAGTTTCCTCGACCAGGTACATTCATTGGACTTAATATTATTAGGGCTATCAAAATTCTAATCCCAATTGCTGCTTAATTCCTAAACTTTCTGATGACATTAAGAAAGTGTATTCTTGTCAAAGAGGAGGCAAGTACTATAGCCTAACAGCAGGACAGAATATTGACTCTAATATAACTTCTGTGAAGACATCTCTAGTCGGTCCTAGACCTCACTACACATTTCGAATCTGCATTGAGCCTCCTACTGATAAATCTCAGTCTCGGAATGATCTTCGTAGAGTCGATTATTCTCATTGTACTCTAAATCCTAAAATTATATCTTGCCGATATGAATTACTCGTCAATGCTCCAATTATAAATGCTCTTGAGACTTTACAGCAGAATAGTCTGCTTTCTATTCATATCCAAACTTACTTTGTAAGAGAGCTTCCCATGGATCGCCATGCCAAGTTTGGACTCTCAAGGGTCTTTGCAAATCGATATAAATCTGATTTCAAGAAGGGTAAGATATTGAACTATATTTAGAGCATAAAAGAGATGATGGAGACAAACAGCTCTGTCAACTCATTGAAATACTGAAACAGAAGCATCTCCAAGAGTTCAAATCAGATAGAATAATTGAAGATGACGAGGTCGTTAAGAAAATTTGAGAATTATGTGAACAGAATCTGAGTATTAGAGACCTTGAGCTTAACCTAGTGTATTTGAAGCATGTCAGAGATATTCTGTACTCTCTTAGAAATAATTATGTAATAAAAACGATTAGAATCATTACAGAAAGGAGAATAATAAATCAAGAACCTTTAAAAGATCATGAAGAGACAAAGCACCAAGATCCTGAACAAGAACTATTAGAAGAAAAAAAATTTTCTAATGATCGCCTGAGACCCTGACCACAATGTCTTAGAGATTTTACTAGAAATAAATATAGGATGGGTTCAACTCACTAGAGAAATATTCTTGATTAGGAACTTCCATCTAGGAATTTAGATTATGGCAGGCTTGAAAGTGACAAATGAAAAGGCACTATGAAACACACTTAGTAGAAGGTCGGATAAGATCATGAAGAGAAAAAGTGCTTATCTTAATATTATTCATAGCTATAATCTGCTGAGAAGGTATCTCATCAAATCAACTAGAAAAATCTTGTTACAAAGACATTTATCTCAGCATATACTAAAATATCTTTAAAATAACATCATTATTTTAGATAAAATATAGCCTAATAGAGTTATTCAAAGTAGTCCCAACGAATGTAATAATGACTCAACCTGCCCTAAACTTCTATCTCGAACCCCTCCACCCCTACCTCTTAGCCTACCCTCCTCTAAGCACCAAAACTCCATCCTTCCCTTCCTCCACATCCCACCCATCCCCACTACACACAAAAACTCCTCACCTACATCACCAACTTCCAACTCCAAAGAGTCAATACAAAAATAATCCTTCGGGGTTTTGGGGTTTTGGGGTTTTGGGG